TTTTGGGCGAGAGGTCATCGTGAAATCACTGTGTTCGTCCCTCAGTGGAGGCAGAAGAACAACTCAAAGGTTAAAGGTGAAGCTCAATTTATGCCTTGTTATCTCAGTGTATTGGGACAGCAGTGAGTGTGTCATCATGTGGCTCTTGTGTTTTCTGTAGAAAGGCAATACATGAATGAACTCTATGATCTGGGTTTCCTCAAATACACTCCATCCAGAGAGGTCGAGGGCAAGAGAATCAACTCATATGATGACCGGTAATTAATCATTCCATCTCAGATCAACACGTCTAAAAAAGGGTTAAGGTTATGTTAAACTGTGTAATCCAAATAGATGGACATATGTGACCCTGGAGCATAAAAGCAGTCTTAAGTCGCTGGATACATTGTATGGGTCAAAATTATCCTTTTTTTTATGCCAAAAATCATTAGGATATTATGATCATGTTCCATGAAGATATTTTGTAAATTTCCTACCGTAAATATATCAAAACATAATTTATGATTAGTAATATGCATTGCTAAGAACTTCATTTGGACAACTTTAAAGATGATTTTCTCAATATTTTGATTTTTTTGCACCCTCAGATTCCAGATTTTCAAATAGTTGTATCTCAGCCAAATATAATCAGCTAAATCTCAATTGACCCAATCAGAAAATTGACCCTTATGACTGGTTTTGTGGTCCAGGGTCACATTTTACATGCAATTCAAACACATAAATCTTAAATTTAGGGCTGAATATTTTTTGAGTATAGCAAGCAGTGATGTAAACCAATAGTAAAAAAGAAATCAGTGCTGTTTCGTTAGTTAATTAGTGATTGTTGGTTAGATTCATGCTGGAGCTGGCACAGAAGACGAATGGAGTTATTGTGACTAATGACAACCTGAGAGATCTGGTGGACGAGTCGCCCGCGTGGAGAGACATCATAAAGAAAAGGTGGGCATGCATGAAATATTTCTGAATTAGACTCTTTTAATCAGTGCATTTCAGTGTTGAATAAAGTATATTTACAGTCATTAGCTTTTTCTTCATCCTCCATCTTTCTTTCTTTTTTACCTTGGTATAATATATTGTGATTGATTGTTTTATGTGCAAAGCAAGGGCTTCATATTTGAAGTGCCCCTGATGCACCTTAAATGATCCAGTTATGAAGGCAGCACACTAGGTTTTGTCTGTGTGTATAGTTTTTATAGCAGTGACAGCTGTTGTCATTTACTGATGAAAGTGTTGTTTCAGTTTGCTTCAGTACGTGTTTGCCGGCGATCTCTTCATGTTACCTGACGATCCTTTGGGCCGCGGTGGACCTCATCTGAGAGACTTCCTACATAAACACCACAGGTGCTAAAATTTACACGACATCACACTGTCTGTTAAATTAAATGCACTGCCATTCAAAAGTTTGGGGTCAGCAACATTTTCTAATATTTTTTAAAAAGAAGTCTCTTCTGCTCACAAAGGCTGTATTTACTTGATAAAAATACAGTAAAAATGGTGAAATAATATTACACATTAAAATGTTTTCTATGTTAAACTAATTTATTGCTGTAATCAAAGCTGAATTATAAAACGGATAGTTCCGGTCCTTGATTCTGATTGGTTGAGACAACAGTTTGAAGCTGTTGTAAATGACTCTATAAGCATACACCTTTGTTTACGTTTGTCTGTTGCTCGGCAACAACTTTGTAGCAACCACAACTGTTTCTGAGGAGCTACATTGTTTGGTGGAAGAATACTGTTTTTATTAATATCATTACACTTTATTTGCTCTGTTTTATTTTGTGAAACCTTACTACGTATATGGAATAACCGTTTTATAAAAGCAATAAGCCCCGTGAAGCCATGGTTTACAGTGAATTTATAAGAGCTAAGGGGGTTTTAGACTCCGCTTCATGTCGTAACGATGCCCCTTAGCTGTTATAAATTCACTGTAAACCACGGCTTCACGGGGCTTATTGCTTTATTTTCAGCATCATTCCTCCAGTCTTCAGTGTCACATGATCTTCAGAAATCATTCTAATATGCTGATTTGCTGCTCAACAAACATTTCTGATTATTATCAATGTTGAAAACAGTCGTGCTGCACAATATTTTTGTGGAAACCGTGATGCATTTTATTTTTCAGGATTCACAGATGAAGAGAAAGTTCAAAAGAACAGCATTTATTTGAAATAGAAATCTTTTGTAACATTATAAATGTCTTTACTGACACTTTTCATCAATTTAATGCATCCTTGATGAATAAAACTAAACAAATAATTTATCTCAAAATAAATCTTACTGACCCCAAACTTTTGAACAGTACTATACATAATTATTTCTGCTTTTGAAACAATAACACAATGCACAGTATAATAAAATATTAATAATTATTATGCAATTATTTTTAGACAGGGTTTGCAAACTAAATGCCCTCAAATATTTTATGTTCATCAATACAATGTATTTTCATCTGTTTTAGTCTGTGTAATATTTCTGATTAAAATGCAAACAGTCCATTAACACACGCTGATGTAGCGCACACCATTTATCTGTAGACCACATTTTTTAAATATTAAAGCACGGATAAATGATGTCTTGAAATCAGATAGTTTCGTGTCAGTGGCCTATATGCTAATGTTCTCTGAAATATGACAATAACAATAACAAATATCATGTTGAACTCCCCAGTGTGTGTGTGTGTTTGTGTCTCTGCTCTCTCAGTAGTTTGCCTGTTCCCGGCAGTCACTCGTTCGCAGGTGTGTCTGCGTCCTTCCGTCCACCGTCTGCGGCGCGGCACGCTCACACCGAAGTGCTGCAGTACCGAGACTGGACCCCGGGGGGTCACGGCAGGGGTCAGGAGGTCAGGGAGAGGACGGCGGAGGAGACACTGAAGTTGCGGCAGAGTTTAGTGCAGATCTTTCCGGACCAGGAGAGCGTGATTATCATGATCCTGCAGTGTCACCCGACCGTCAGAGACGTCAGCCGACTCACAGACCTCGTCCTGGAGCAACAGGAATAAACACCAACATGACACGCAGCATCTGGACATACACAGCTGGCTTTAAATTGTGCTCAAGACAAAACAAAAAATATTTCCTTACCATTCCAAAACTGTCTTCTAATGTGTTTTCATTTTAAACGTAATTTATATATTCAACAAGTGTAAATGATGAATATACAATGGCCGAGACGCGCTGCAACTTAAGAAAACACATGCAAATAGAAAACACATGCTTTTAGGAGTTCTTAATTTGAAATGTTAACACTTGATGTTTTGTTGATACTATTTATTTTCCCCCCCCCCCCCCCAAACCCCCCTGTAATTTGCACCCTGCTAATAGATAGATATCAACGTACTTTGACCAGCTGATTAATCGCAGTACATTGAGACAATTGTTGTGTATTACAAGTTTTCTTGAATTAAGTGTTTAAAAAACGGAATGTCAGCCAGGTTAAAAATTCTTGTTTGGTTTTGTTGACATATTAGAGTTAAAGGTTTTTACAGAGGGGATTTTGGATTTCTCTTTTTATCACTCCAAAAATCAGAAAATACTGTCAAAATAAACTTTTACAATTTTTTAGGAATAAAATGTATAAAATCAGGCAAATGACATACAGTATTAACAAACCCCTCAGGAAAAATCTTCAGAATATAGAGAGGAATAAAACTGCTAAGTTTGGTGTCTGTAAGTGCTGCTGAAGTGGAGATAAAACTAATTTTGAGAAAACGGCCTTTGAAGATTGTATTGTACATATGCAAATAGGCAAAGTGCAATAATAAAATCATGTGAATGAAATCTGAACAAACCCCTCAGTGAAACCCTTCAGAATATAGAGAGGAATAAAACTGTAAGTTTTGATGTCTGTAAGTGCTGCTGAAGTGGAGATAAAACTCAAACGGCCTTTAAAGATATGTACTGTGATTGAAATCTACAAACGCAAATAGATAAAGTGCAATAATAAAATCATGTGAATGAAATCTGAACAAACCCCTCAGTGAAACCCTTCAGAATATAGAGAGGAATAAAACTGTAAGTTTTGATGTCTGTAAGTGCTGCTGAAGTGGAGATAAAACTCAAACAGCCTTTAACGATATGTACTGTGATTGAAATCTACAAACGCAAATAGATAAAGTGCAATAATAAAATCATGTGAATGAAATCTGAACAAACCCCTCAGTGAAACCCTTCAGAATATAGAGAGGAATAAAACTGTAAGTTTTGATGTCTGTAAGTGCTGCTGAAGTGGAGATAAAACTCAAACGGCCTTTAAAGATATGTACTGTGATTGAAATCTACAAACGCAAATAGATAAAGTGCAATAATAAAACCAGGCAAACGATATATCAACAAACCCTTCAGTAAAAACCTTCAGAATATAGAGAGGAATAAAACTGTAAGTTTTGGTGTATTTAAGTTCTGCTGAAGTGGAGAAAGAAACTTGTTTTGAGAAAACTCCTTTAAAGTTATGTATTGTATTTGAAATTTACTGATGGATATAGCACTAATAATATAACACTTAAAAGTGTAATTTGGATGTTTTCTTTTAACTGTTCTGAAAGAAGACATGTTATGGAGTTTTTTTAATGAAAAATTGGTCAAAAGTACGTGAAAAAAAAACTATATGTGCCAATAGGATCAGGAAAATACATGTTTTCTCTTTTAATTATTTCTCTCTCTCTAGTTCTTGTTTTAAGCATAAACTCAGTTAATTTTGAAACAAGACTTCTTCATATCTTTTGTCGTTTTGCATCTCCAGTAATTGTATCTTGATTTAAGAATGTTTAGATATTTGTGCTGGAAGACGAGACAGAAATACAGAGGAAATGACGTGTCTCCTTGTCAGATAATATGTTCTGTGCAGTGCATTTAGTGAATTTCTAGGGAGTGAATGTTTAAGTGCACTAGTTCTGGATCGGTTTTGACATTATCTGACATGAGCTAGGGAGTGAAATGAAACGCACCCAGGGTAAAGTGTAAAGAGCAGCAGAATTGTGAATCTGATGCATATCCTCCGCAGTCACGGTTTGGGGGTGTTTTTCTCCTGTCGAGGCATCGCTCTGGCCGTACAGCAGTTTTGGGCGAGAGGTCATCGTGAAATCACTGTGTTCGTCCCTCAGTGGAGGCAGAAGAACAACTCAAAGGTTAAAGGTGAAGCTCAATTTATGCCTTGTTATCTCAGTGTATTGGGACAGCAGTGAGTGTGTCATCATGTGGCTCTTGTGTTTTCTGTAGAAAGGCAATACATGAATGAACTCTATGATCTGGGTTTCCTCAAATACACTCCATCCAGAGAGGTCGAGGGCAAGAGAATCAACTCATATGATGACCGGTAATTAATCATTCCATCTCAGATCAACACGTCTAAAAAAGGGTTAAGGTTATGTTAAACTGTGTAATCCAAATAGATGGACATATGTGACCCTGGAGCATAAAAGCAGTCTTAAGTCGCTGGATACATTGTATGGGTCAAAATTATCCTTTTTTTTATGCCAAAAATCATTAGGATATTATGATCATGTTCCATGAAGATATTTTGTAAATTTCCTACCGTAAATATATCAAAACATAATTTATGATTAGTAATATGCATTGCTAAGAACTTCATTTGGACAACTTTAAAGATGATTTTCTCAATATTTTGATTTTTTTGCACCCTCAGATTCCAGATTTTCAAATAGTTGTATCTCAGCCAAATATAATCAGCTAAATCTCAATTGACCCAATCAGAAAATTGACCCTTATGACTGGTTTTGTGGTCCAGGGTCACATTTTACATGCAATTCAAACACATAAATCTTAAATTTAGGGCTGAATATTTTTTGAGTATAGCAAGCAGTGATGTAAACCAATAGTAAAAAAGAAATCAGTGCTGTTTCGTTAGTTAATTAGTGATTGTTGGTTAGATTCATGCTGGAGCTGGCACAGAAGACGAATGGAGTTATTGTGACTAATGACAACCTGAGAGATCTGGTGGACGAGTCGCCCGCGTGGAGAGACATCATAAAGAAAAGGTGGGCATGCATGAAATATTTCTGAATTAGACTCTTTTAATCAGTGCATTTCAGTGTTGAATAAAGTATATTTACAGTCATTAGCTTTTTCTTCATCCTCCATCTTTCTTTCTTTTTTACCTTGGTATAATATATTGTGATTGATTGTTTTATGTGCAAAGCAAGGGCTTCATATTTGAAGTGCCCCTGATGCACCTTAAATGATCCAGTTATGAAGGCAGCACACTAGCTGTGTGTTGTGTGTATAGTTTTTATAGCAGTGACAGCTGTTGTCATTTACTGATGAAAGTGTTGTTTCTTCAGTACGGGCCGCGGTGGACCTCATCTGAGAGACTTCCTACATAAACACCACAGGTGCTAAAATTTACACGACATCACACTGTCTGTTAAATTAAATGCACTGCCATTCAAAAGTTTGGGGTCAGCAACATTTTCTAATATTTTTTAAAAAGAAGTCTCTTCTGCTCACAAAGGCTGTATTTACTTGATAAAAATACAGTAAAAATGGTGAAATAATATTACACATTAAAATGTTTTCTATGTTAAACTAATTTATTGCTGTAATCAAAGCTGAATTATAAAACGGATAGTTCCGGTCCTTGATTCTGATTGGTTGAGACAACAGTTTGAAGCTGTTGTAAATGACTCTATAAGCATACACCTTTGTTTACGTTTGTCTGTTGCTCGGCAACAACTTTGTAGCAACCACAACTGTTTCTGAGGAGCTACATTGTTTGGTGGAAGAATACTGTTTTTATTAATATCATTACACTTTATTTGCTCTGTTTTATTTTGTGAAACCTTACTACGTATATGGAATAACCGTTTTATAAAAGCAATAAGCCCCGTGAAGCCATGGTTTACAGTGAATTTATAAGAGCTAAGGGGGTTTTAGACTCCGCTTCATGTCGTAACGATGCCCCTTAGCTGTTATAAATTCACTGTAAACCACGGCTTCACGGGGCTTATTGCTTTATTTTCAGCATCATTCCTCCAGTCTTCAGTGTCACATGATCTTCAGAAATCATTCTAATATGCTGATTTGCTGCTCAACAAACATTTCTGATTATTATCAATGTTGAAAACAGTCGTGCTGCACAATATTTTTGTGGAAACCGTGATGCATTTTATTTTTCAGGATTCACAGATGAAGAGAAAGTTCAAAAGAACAGCATTTATTTGAAATAGAAATCTTTTGTAACATTATAAATGTCTTTACTGACACTTTTCATCAATTTAATGCATCCTTGATGAATAAAACTAAACAAATAATTTATCTCAAAATAAATCTTACTGACCCCAAACTTTTGAACAGTACTATACATAATTATTTCTGCTTTTGAAACAATAACACAATGCACAGTATAATAAAATATTAATAATTATTATGCAATTATTTTTAGACAGGGTTTGCAAACTAAATGCCCTCAAATATTTTATGTTCATCAATACAATGTATTTTCATCTGTTTTAGTCTGTGTAATATTTCTGATTAAAATGCAAACAGTCCATTAACACACGCTGATGTAGCGCACACCATTTATCTGTAGACCACATTTTTTAAATATTAAAGCACGGATAAATGATGTCTTGAAATCAGATAGTTTCGTGTCAGTGGCCTATATGCTAATGTTCTCTGAAATATGACAATAACAATAACAAATATCATGTTGAACTCCCCAGTGTGTGTGTGTGTTTGTGTCTCTGCTCTCTCAGTAGTTTGCCTGTTCCCGGCAGTCACTCGTTCGCAGGTGTGTCTGCGTCCTTCCGTCCACCGTCTGCGGCGCGGCACGCTCACACCGAAGTGCTGCAGTACCGAGACTGGACCCCGGGGGGTCACGGCAGGGGTCAGGAGGTCAGGGAGAGGACGGCGGAGGAGACACTGAAGTTGCGGCAGAGTTTAGTGCAGATCTTTCCGGACCAGGAGAGCGTGATTATCATGATCCTGCAGTGTCACCCGACCGTCAGAGACGTCAGCCGACTCACAGACCTCGTCCTGGAGCAACAGGAATAAACACCAACATGACACGCAGCATCTGGACATACACAGCTGGCTTTAAATTGTGCTCAAGACAAAACAAAAAATATTTCCTTACCATTCCAAAACTGTCTTCTAATGTGTTTTCATTTTAAACGTAATTTATATATTCAACAAGTGTAAATGATGAATATACAATGGCCGAGACGCGCTGCAACTTAAGAAAACACATGCAAATAGAAAACACATGCTTTTAGGAGTTCTTAATTTGAAATGTTAACACTTGATGTTTTGTTGATACTATTTATTTTCACATGCTCCTTTCTTGATGTAAGGATAATAAACAGACGACGAGTGTTAGAGACCAAATCAACCAAAGAATACGTCTTAATGAGTTTAGGTTTCATGTTTTTCTTTCAGGGACGACGGATGTAAATGAGCAATGTTGCTATAATCTGACATGTTTACATTTTGAATTTTTATACAGATGTTCATTAATGTGCTCTGTCCCCATTAAACAGCTACATAAATCAGGTTGTCGGTGAATTTGAGTAGCAGGTGATCTATATAAAACACATCAGACCGATCTAACCAACCAGTCATTTGTTATTAATTTATTTCAATATTACAATCAAACTGACTAAATAGTGTAATATAATAATAATAGTGTAATAATATTTTAGAACAGTTAGTAAGAACTACATCTTTACCTAATGTTTGCTTGATTTCTTTATGATAACTTTGAACATTTATTAACTTTTTAAAAGCTGGGAATATCCATGGTTGTTCTGTGTACCAGCAGAGGGCGCTATACCTACTGTACTACTGGTGCTGCATACAGTATGCAGTCAGGTATTTAAGGCCAGAAACTACAGGTGAATAGAGTACAAATAACCATTAAAACATCACCATACTTCCCCAGTTGATTGTTTACATTATAAATTGCAATTCTTTTTTGTATTGTTATGCTATGTTATGTTTAAATGTGCAAATGAACTGGATAAAGCCAGATTCTAAATTCTTGTTTGATTTTGTAGTCATATTAGAGTTAAAGGTTTTTACAGAGGGAATTCTGGATTTCTATTCTTATCACTCCATAAATGAGAAAATGCTGTAAATAGACCGAAAGAAATGCATTTTCACCATGTTTTTAGGAATAAAAGTGCTAGAAATAATCAGGTGAATGACGTATGAACAAACCCCTCAGTAAAAAATTTCAGAATATAGAGAGGAATAAAAGTGTAAGTTCTGGTGTCTGTAAGTGCTGCTGAAGTGGAGAAACAAATTCATTTAGAGAAATTTACCTTTAAAGATACTTACTTTAACTAGACGCAAATAGAAGAAATGCAATAATAAAATCAGCCAAATTATATTTCAACAAACCCCTCAGTAAAAACATTCACAATATAGATATGAATAAAACTGCTAAGTTTGGTGTCTGTAAGTTCTGCTGAAGTGGAGAAACAACTTCACTGAGGAAAAGTTAATAAAGTGAAATTTAGGATTTATAGTAAAAACCTTATATGCATCAGAAGAGATGCTCTTGAAAATTTGTCCCAATATAAAATAAAAGTTATTGGTTAAAACACAACTGAAAATATCCCAACTTGCATGCATGTTTGTCCAGTTTTCAATAGAAAAAGGCTTCAACCTGAAAGTAATTGAGCAAGATCTCTTGAAAAATGTTTTGCATTATCTGAGGTCACGAAAGAAAGATCATTGAACCTGAGACTGATTTACTCAATTTTGCTTTAATAAAATTAGACTGTATTAAGTGCATGAATAGGAATAAAAAAGTGGATGTTGATTATTGCCATTGCAAATCTGATTCATTTGATTCACTAAACACCTTTTCCGCTTGAAAAAGTGAAAAAATATATGAACACAAAAGTTGTGGGTTTGTTCCAGAGACGAATGAACCTTCTGTCGCATTCAAGCGTTTGAAGCAGATGTTGAAACTCTTAAACAAACTGTTTGGATGAGGGTTTCCTTAACCGAGTTACGATTATATGATAAAGATTTTAATATTTGATATTGTCCATCACTTTAAGCATCCAAATACTTTTCTGAGTCAGTGTATATAAGTGATTCAACAAAGTACAGTACAGAAATCAGAAAACACGATACACAAACTTAAGCATCAGTGATTTCTAAAGTGTCTGGCTGTGAACTAGTTCTGATTTGAATGTTATTTTCCATGCACATCAACAATGATGTCAGCAGAGTAAGACAGACTCATAACACAGACTTTATAAAGTGGAAAGATTACATGCAACCATTCCTGGACCTGAAAATAGCTGCTATATATGTGCGTCTGCCGTCATTTGCAGACTGATTTGATCTTGTGCTGTTATCAGGTGAGCGTCACCGGTTTTGGAAACATTAGAAACTGTTTCGTAACATGAGCTAGCTATTCCCTAACGAGCATATTCAACTTTATAAAAACAAATAATATAAGCTGAAATGTGTCTCTTTCTTCTTCAGCTCTGATGCGCGTGATGTTCTCGCAGTTTCATGACTATTTCTTTGTGCCTGAGAAAGTGCAGACAGCATTACACTGATCTTGCCACTGTTAATAACCAGCGAGATAATCACAATCTGCTAAAAATGAAAGGAAAACAGTGGCTTAGTATGAAATAAATGTAGTTTAAATACATGACTTTTTTTTACTAGGGATTAGATGAAATTCCTAATTTCTTATTCTTATACATTAAGACTGGCAACTCACCAATATGACACACATAAGCATATTTGTTTTCACAGTGTTGGTCGTTCTAGTGGTAATTGTGAATCTGAACACACCAGTATAGTTAAAATCTATTAACATATTTACTGACAAATCGCCTGATATAAAAATAATAATTCAACTTTACTGGCACTATTACTTGTGCACAATGCACATTTCTTAATATTAAGCCTAAAATGTGTTTTAATGTCACTATTGATGAGGATTGTATGCTCTTTCGATAATTAAATGCAAGATATTTAAAGTGTACCTGAATTATACTTGGCAATAGTTCCACTTTAGCACAATCAAATATACTTCAGTATATCTTTAGCTGGACTTCAGCACTGCTTCTGCACAATTAAAGTGCATGAAGTACAAAATTAGTTGCTCCAATTTTCTGTTACACCAAATACACAAAATAATGATCTTTAAAAAAGCATCATATGACCCCTTTAAAGTAGCCTAAGCAGTTTACATTTATATTTAGTCATTTAGCTGACACCTTTATCCAAAGTATACTAAAAGTACATGAATATGTAAATGTATTTGTAGAATACTTAGCATGAAATAAATGTAATTCAAAGACACTTTAGTATATTTATTTTTCACTAGGGGCAAAATCTATGTATTTTCAAATATATTTGTAAATATATATTCATAATTAAAATAAATAAATTATGTACCAATATATTTTGGCCATTTTTGTATATTTTTGTTATTTCAAACACTCAGCTGATGTTGTGCAGTAAAATCATGTTATTAAATGTCCTCTTTTGTTGGACAACGCTTATTTTTTAAGTTGTTTGGGGCGTGCCGCTTTTTAATTGCACGTTAGTTACAGCGCTTGCAGAGATCGAGCAGCTTTTACTACTGCGATTGTATACATTTAATTAAAAAAAATCTAACTGCCTAATATTTTGAGTGCAAATTGTAATAAAAATACATTAATTTTCAGCATGACGTGGGCCACAAAATTAATGCAGACGGGCTGCCTGTTGAGTACCCCTTGGCTTTAATAAGATTGACCTTAGGTGTGGGCTGGACTTCACTGGTGCTCCTGTATTTCGACTGTTGTGGCACATTTGAATATCCAGAACCTGAAATGAACAAGAATAAGAAACGTTTCTTTGTAACCTTGCAATATTGTTCTAATCACGACAAGAAAACTGGACATTTTAATGTTTTTAGAAAGCTAGAACTGTTCAAATAACATTATATTTTGGCAGGGGCACTGTAACAGGGAGAGAGGGAGTTAGGGCCCTGATCAGAGAGGACTTTCTAATAGTCCAAAGTAAACTGCTCATATAGTTGAAGAAACACGCTTGTCAATCAAGCTGCTGAAATTCTTTTCTCAGCTCTTTTATCTGACACTTCAAATCTGACTTACAAATCAAATATACAAATGCGATACAGACATCAGACTACACATGTAAATGAAGCTGGTAGCAGACAGAAAACATCTCGTGAATAGCTACAAAGCTTAACGTGTGAAACATTATCATTAGAAGATCTGCAAATCTGAATTAAGCTGATTATCAGAAGTAACATCAAAAATGGTCAACTTTTTATTATAGTATGTGCATTTGTTTTCATAGTCTGTCAGGTGATAATACAAAATGTAACTTATCTTTTTCATCTTTATGTATCTTATTTGTCTTTCAAGTCATTCGTGAGGCCTTTAGTTAAAAATTACCTGTTCCTGCAGGTGGGCGATATGACCAAAATTTTATTTCACGATAATGATATTATATTAGCTATTTTTATTTTATTTTATTTGTATTATTAAAAATAAGAAAAGAAGCAAATGATAAATGCAATAAAACAAATAAATATGAACTTTTAATTTCTTCAGCTGCAGTAGGCTGGGTTTATTTAACATGTAGTAAGAAACATTACAGAAATTGAATAAAGTACATAAATAAAACTCTGGATAGTCTTCCCTGTATCAATCAAACATGAACTGATTCTATTAAAGATCCAAAATTAGACTGCTGCACTGATCAAATATTCTGATACACATCTGGTTTTCACCCAACTGTTTGTGTTTATTCAACACATGACTGTCTATGTAACGAGTCATCATTGTGTGCGTATTTGACCATTCAAGCACAATAAAACACGAAAGAGATCTGTTTTCATGATCATATTCTATCAATGTGCGCGCTTATAATGTGCGAGTTATTTTTCACTGCTTATTGCACGTAATAACTTTATTAAACATCATGCACGTCCCAAATTCACGACCACATGCTGTCTGAGAGAGGCGCTTTCTGTGTGTTTGCTTCGTGTGTGTCAGTCAGCGTGAGCACCGCATTGAGTTCTTTTTCACTGCTTATTGCGCTTAATAACTCTATCAAATGTTTCCCATTCTTAATTTTCTCATGCAGGCATGTTTCAAGGTGTATATAACTTTTATGTAGTACTGTTACGCAGATTTATTTGCATACCACGGAATACACGATACAGCAAAATCTCTACCGACAGACACTTTATTCCACGGTAAAGAAATATACCGTCATATTGCCCAGCCCTACCTTTTCCAAACAGAACGTCGTAACTGGACAAAACATCTTGGGAATGCTTTGTATTTTGAAATGTTTTAATAAAAGACACATTGAGCATGATGAGACTAATTTCATCCATTTCACTTTCATTTTGTTAAGGAGTTGAATAAAGGCTGCATCTTATGTTTGTGCATGAATAAATGATGAAAATAAATATGTGAATGTTATTGATAATTGCCATTGTGATTGTCTTCGGTATATAATCACTTCATAGAGCTACAAACACCGTTTTGTAGCT